TCGTATTTTGAGGGGATTTTGTACACTTGCATTTTTTAAACATCTGTAGCACTGCATGTATCAACTAATAAGCTTCAGAGATAAGGTGTCGCAAAGTCTTTTCTGAGCCTTGAATACTTATTATGACCATGATATGGAACTTTTATCATGTGGTGATCGTCTTTGGACTTAACCTTACTATTCAGCAGAGAAGTCTAACATTTCCGAAATTATCTTCTTGCCAATGTCAATAATGCTTCACGCTAACGTTGAAGCCATCCATTTAACAGTAATTTTCTAGAGGTAACCGTTTATAAGTACATCTAGTTTCAAGCTAGTCCCTAATTTAACTGTAGAGTCTAGAAAAATCTGGGAAAAAGAGTAGTCATTATCAAAAGTGGGCACATTTTCTTGAAAATTTGCATCTCCATACAATTTCAAGAGTTTTTGCTAGTTTTGTCTTTATTTGAAAGCTCCATTCCAGCTTCCGAGCTTTCGTGGGAGTTTAAAGGTTGGTTCTTTGCGCTACTGTCAATCTTTTCACTTGCACATCATAAATTTGATCTGGTTCATTCTAACAACAATGTCTCTCGCGGTTTCTAAGCAACTGTTCTATTCAAAACCCTTTCACTCACAACTACTTTGAATACAGAATATCTCCGATGGTCCAACGCTTTTATCCGTCACTCGTATGATTACCGGTTCTATACTTCATTTAGCAGCTTTGGAGGTATCCTCTTTGCTGAAGTCTGGTAGGTTATTCACTTTTTTCTTAGAGATTCTTAATGGAGCAGTGGCCGTTCTAGGACACTTTGAGCAGCCGCATGAAATCTACAGCACATTATTGGAGCCGTCAGATGCTGTTACAGATCGAGAAGAAACTGTGGAGGGAGGTGTGAATAGTTTGTTGTTGAGGTACGCTGGATTCATTTTTTTCCTTAAGACTGCCAAACTCCTCTGTCTTAGCCTACTTCGTCATGGCCATATTGACATCACTGAAGAGATTGAATACCCACGACTGGTGCATTTCAATGCGCATAAGTTGCAGGCGGTTGGTATTTTCTCAAGTATATGGTTACAATTTTTTTGTGTGTTGTTATGTTCTTTCCAAAGGATAAATGGTTTAAAGGTATTTGACATCTGCAAAACAACCACGGTATTCAACATTGCTCAGTACGATATCGAGTATTTGCATGCCTTGCTTACGCGTGAAATTGTCAGCACTCAGGCAGAGGACACAGCAGCTGTCACTAGAGTATGTGGCTTTTTTCTTGTTTCAAATAAAAAATAAGAAAAAAAGGGAAAAAAGCTGTTAGAGTCTAAGGAATGTTCACAAAGTTTTTTTCTAACAAACTTCTGGAACTTTGGGACCTTTTTTAGCGTTTGTAGATGTGCGCATTGCAGGGCGACTTACAACTACTGGTGTCAGACCTATTGACCCCTCTTTTGACCATTCATAGCTTGTGTTTTCTGCCGTTATGGCATTCAACGTATTCGTTATTAAAATATTTTCAAAGCGCACTCGTAGTTGAAATGGTTGGGATTAGTGTCAGTAGTTCTCTATATTTAAGGGCACACATTTTTGCAGTTAAAAAATAACTTTTTTATTAGTACTCTCTAGGAAATGGAAGCAGTTTTGACCTATGGTACGGATATCAACGCCCAGCTGCTACAGCGGGGTGCATCCGAGCAACTGGTTTCAGGATGTACAGCGCTACTGAACGTGATGGCTTTGTTTGCGCCAGTTCCATTCTTTTCTATAGGTCAATTTCCAGCTTAACTGATGTGCTGTGACGTCAAGTCGTGGTGGTTTAAATACCCTACTTAAGGCGTTCAACATAATTTTCTGACTGACACTGCATTTTTATTGGTTGAATATCTAAGTGGGTGTGGCGCTGATGAACAAGTAGCTGTATGTGGAACGCTTCTTCGATTATGCAGGACTATTTGTGCACTTATTAAAGTGGAATACCCAGAGGCAGGTTTTGGTTTGATTCTCTTGATTTTCATATCTCTGTTGGCTATCTGCATGATTACTTTTATTTTTGCTTGACACAATATTTTTGTAAGAATTGAATCGTAGTTTTCCTAAGCTTTCTTGGAATCAGCGTTATACGGGAACCTTCCACCTCGGAAACCTCTGTTTGGACAGTGGCAATACTCTGCGTCGCGGCCAGGTCTACCGTTTCCTCCCTCGGGCCCTGGTGGTCCATCAACTCCTCTTGGTCCGGCTGCTCCACCTGCTCCAGGTGGTCCGATTGGCCCAGGCGCGCCGGGTGGAGCGTTCTGTCCAGGATAACCTTGTGGTCCAGGATCTCCTTGTGGTCCGCGCTGTCCCTTTGGACCAGGACGACCAATAGGTTTGCGTCCATCAGCTCCCTTCTCTCCTGGACGTCCATCTGGTCCGGGGCGTCCTTGTGGACCGCCTGCTCCCATCTCTCCGGGATGTCCGGGGTTTCCGTCATGACCAGGACGACCGAGCGTTCCATCTGCTCCTTTCATTCCACGTACGCCTGGGCGACCGATAGGACCAGGAGCTCCGGGAGGCCCAGGTGGACAATAGAAGCATATTCCAGTGTCTTGAGGTTCGGGGCTAACATCAACAGCATCCACTCCTGGTTTGCCATCAACTCCGGGAATACCATTGGGACCGGGCGCACCGGGAAGGCCTGAAACGAGTAGCATAAGACACTTCACCAAGTTATTTTCAAAATATGTCTTTTACCTTTGGGCCCAGTAGGTCCATGGTGACACCTATTATCAGCGGCACTTTTGCACTGACAACCAGCTGAATTTGGACTAGGACCGGAGGGAGCTTGAGCTAGTCCGTGCGCAGGTGCGCCAATGCCACCGGAGGAACTCGATTGAACGTAGGCTTCACGACGGCGACGGGTGGCGCCAATATGAACGAGGTCGCGCCACATCTCATCGGTTTGAGTCTAAAGATATCGCTAATATCTCAATGCAAATGGAGTTGTAGTTGGAAAACATACACGAATAACGCTCATTTCATCATCCAGTTCTTCCCAGAAGTCCTGAACATTGTTGTAGATTTGTGCAATGCTCAGAAGACAACATATGAGCACAACGCCGCTGAGAGAACTAGCAATGAAGGTCACCGTATAGACCTTCATACCTGGAAGAAAACGAAGGGTGAAATCTCTGACATTCAGCTTGGACATCCTAGGGTGCGAGTAATTCACGCAAAGAAAATAAGTGGCATTACTTTGCTGCTTTCTTTGCTACTAAGTTTTCTACAAAATATCTTGTACATCAATGGTTTTTGCGTTTTATGTACTTATGAAAGCAATTTGAGTTTTCAAATCTCATGTTGAGATCTTTGGCTTCCGATGCTATGTGCTCATTGTTACTATTTGTGTGAATCTTTTAGATGAATTTGAAAGTCGTAAAGTTGAGACTATGCGAAGCTGTTGAAGTTATTAGCACATTCAAAGTTTATTGTTTGAAAATGCTGATTCATGAA